CTTCAAGTTCCTGTCGTGAAAACTTTGATTGTTACAGCACGTTTGGTCTCAATCTTTTTCACAAACCAAAATACAAGCGATTTTCCTCTTGAAAATAAGGGTGAATCTTCAAAGTCGATTTTCTCGAAAGTTTTCAAACAATCTGAATTTCTTTTTCCGCTGGAAATAGACGCAGGATATGTTCAACTTTCATTTGATGCAAAAATCATACCTCTGGGGTCCATATTAGCTGAGTTATGGCCATTCAAAGATGAGGGTGTGGGTCAGCCCCCAGCCTATACGGTCCTATACAGTCTCGCTGCTCCAGTTGGGGTTAAGACCAAAACTTTGACGGGCTGCCGTTCGGAAACTATGTAGAGATGTAGAGTTGCAATTTGAACTGAATATTCGCAACCATCTGAAGTTGTTCTATTCAAAATTTCATGTTCCTGCCGTGAAAACTCTGCCTGTTACAGCACTTTTAGTGTCAATCTTTTTCCCAAACCAAAATACAAGCGATTTTCCTCTTGAAAATAAGGGTGAATCTTCAAAGTCGATTTTCTCGAAAGTTTTCAAAAAGTCCGAATTTCTCTTTCCGATGGAAATAGACGCAGGATATGTTCAACTTTCATTCGATGCAAAAATCATACCTCTGGGGTCAATATCTGAGATGTAAAGTTGCAATTTGCACTGAATATTCTCAACCATCTGAAATTGTTCTCTTCCAAATTTCAAGTTCCTGTCGTGAAAACTCTGCCTGTTACAGCACTTTTAGTGTCAGACTTTTTCCCAAAACCAAAATACAAGCCATTTTCCTCTTGAAAATAAGGGTGAATCTTCAAAGTCGATTTTCTCGAAAGTTTTCAAAAAGTCCGAATTTCTCCGAGTTATGGCCATTTAAAGATGAGGGTCTGTCTCAAAATCAGGCATAAACTAAATTTGATTTTGAATTTATTTTTCACCTATCTTCAAAATACAGCCCATAACTGGAGATCCAGAGATTAATTATACCCCCAAGTGATTAATTAAATTAACCGACTTACAATGTTGACAATAAAGCAACCCGTTCTCCACCTGTACTCTATTACACCGTAAACGCGGACACTCCGGATTGGAGGACGTGGAGAGTTAGGACTGCATAATCGAATTGGCCCTATATAGCGGATGAGTATAACCGGTAGTAGTCTGCTTTCAATTTTAGAAGCTCAAAATTTTCATGGTCATCACATATTGAATTTTTAGGAGACATTGAGGATTGGTCAGGCTTTCATTCGGCATACTGGAAAGCTTTCAACGAGACTTCTGGAAAAAGTTGTAAAAGGTTGAATTTCGTGTTTTAACATAGGGAAGTTGGATTCTTGTGGCGTCCTTGTTGCGGTGTACTTAGTAAAACATATCGATAACAAAAATACAATATACAGTTTGAAGGAACCAGGAGCCGTGAAAAAATTATTTCTAGACTTAGGCACATATTGATCTACTTCACGGTGAATTTTCCGTAGAAATGATTACTTTTAACTCCATTTAATTTATAAAATGGCGATCTCTAAATCACCACAGATGGTTTGTTTTTCAATGTTAATTCATTCTTGATTAAATTAAGTAGGAACTTTAATGTTATTTTCGTTTCGTATTAGGCCTATTGTATCGAGAATAGTACATTTTAAACAACCAAAATGCATTTCTTTATCAAGTCGATGGAGGTTAACATGGCCATGCTGTAAAATCGAGTTATCTATATGTTTAACCTACATCATCCTGTTTATCTCTTGTTGCTGACTGATCTTAATATACAAATTCGACCAGCATATAGATTCGATCTTCATCTTTAGCCTATGAACCTAAGATTGGAAGTGAAAACTCTATGCCTTGTGCCATGTAGGCTATATTTGTCAAAAACAAAACAGAAGTGTGAAATATTTCAATGCAAAAGACCTTTAAAAGGCGAAAGGCGACCGATCCGCCGGTCCACAAATCCCCTATACCCGAGAAAGCACAATTCTTAACTGATTTTGACGAAACTTGGTATGTTTGTTAGTGATCACCGAAAGATAAACCCTATTGAAAATTAGAAAAATTGAAAAATATTTAGTATGAGTTATTGCCCCTGTTCTTTAAATGCTCGTTACTCTCTAGAACGTGCAATTCTTGACGGATATTGGCGAAACTTGGGGTGGGTGTTTGTAATTACCCAAGAACGAACCCTATTGAAAATCAGAAAAATCGAAAAATAATTAGTATTAAGTATTGCCCTTGTTCTTGAAAACGCATTCAATTTTAGCATGTAAATACTTTAGAAGGTACAATTATTGACAGATTTTTTACGAAACTTGGTGTGAATGTTTGTTATCACCCAAGGATGGACCCTATTGAAATTTTAAAAACGCGATCTTAAAGGCACTATTCTTGACCGATTTTGACGAAAGGATGAAACCTATTTAAAATCAAAAAATCAAAAAATGTTTTATAGGAGTTATTGACCTCGTTCTTGAAAACACTTTCCGTTTTTAGCTAACACTGAAAGGTACGATTCTTGTCGGATTTTGACAAAACTTGGCAATATTATTCAGCATCGCACCAAAAAGTTCCAAAAAGTGTTATGACTGAAGGTTGAATATTTCATACTGTTGATTATTACTATAGGCTACTGCAAATATTTTTATTCAAAATCAAAGCTGCCGGTGGGCGTATATTACTTTGCTTGGCAAGCTATCTGCCGTATCAATATTATCACACTTGTTCAATATCAATAAAAAAATCCTACGTGCGCATACCGGTCCCACATGACGTAAGTGACCGAATAAATTGTGTAAATCTGCCTTATTCTTGGAATTTGTACGGTAGCGTTTATCTGTATAATGGATGAATTTGTACGGTAGCGTTTATCTGTATGCTGGATGAATTTGTACCATAGCTTTAGCCTGGCAAATGGGGGAGTTTTGGATTTGATCATAGATAGAAAAATGGTCAATAATACTAATTAAACAAGTTGTCATCCATTTCAAGTCGTAAAGATGAGCAGTATTGCTGAAGTAACATTAGAACAAATTGACGACTGGTTTCAGATTGGTAAAAAGCCACAAGCACCGGCCAAATCAGTTCCAAAAAGTAAAACAGGTGGTCGAGTGTTCGATGGCAAAACTGGCGAAGCACGTGTAAACAAACCACCAGACTATCATATCTTGCACCCTGATAAGAGGTAATTCCACTAATAAAATGCTTTGAATAAACCCTCGTGTCTTAAAGGTGACTTATTCATTCATGAAATTTTGAAGGATACAGAATACAGGCTACAGGCTTCAATTTTCAAATTGGCATGATGGAACTCTGATAATAAGTTAAGTTAATTAGGAGTAGCTGACCATGACATGAGATGGCCTAATAGACCCACTTTTCACTACAGTTGACACTTTCAAACACTTAATCACCAGGGCCTACAGATAGGCAATACTTTACTTGCTAGGATTCTTCTTTGATATAATTTCAGATGCAATGCTATCAACCAAAGAGATTATGCGAAAGCTTATCAAGCAGAAGAAGAACAGAATCTGCTGCGACATGCCATGGTACAGTATTCAAATATTAATAAAACAGTCAGGGGCCGCTTTCACAAAAGAGTTACGACAGATCACAAGTTTGTGATTGATCGCAAGTCGTTATAAAACTTGCGATGGATTTCAAAAGTTCTTCGCAACTTTGTTCGTATTTTAGGATTTACGACCAATATGACATGAATTTAGATGTCGTACGACAGATCTTTCATAATGAAAATGGTGGGATGCATGGAATGTGTCTGTAACACGTCAAGATTTACGGGGTAGAACTGTTAAATATCACTTTAACGAAAAAGGAAATTAAGTGAATTAGTAGGGTTCAAAGCATTAACAATTACAATAGGTGCTGAAGCAGTCGTTCATAGCCTATCCCACATGGATTTAAGCCGGGGCCCAGATGGATGTGTAGGGCAAGTAGAGGCCCTAATAGCCTAGTCTAATGAACAGGTCTAGGATTGAACATCTATTTTATTGGTCTCGCCTTTTTACAGTCCCCACTGACTGGCACTGACTGACTGACTGAGACAGTGCAAGGGTTCGCTTCGACAATTATATTGACATCATACATAGGTCTGAATAAAATACCGCTTTTTCAGATTTTGCCAATATGTCCTGCCGTACTAATGTTCTATAGTCCACTAGAGAATGCAAATTCACTGAAAATTTGGTAGAAACACATAACGTCATGCTATGGTTTTAGTCGTAACTATGTCGTAGCTAAGATCCTCACATGATCGTTTTGGGCAAGTGGTTCTAAGATCGGTACTAGCTACAAACGTATATTTCTTCTACACTTGATCATAAACTTGGTTTGTGAAACTGGCCCAAGGTATCTACTGACAGTCTATTGCTGAGGCATAGTCTTTATTAGATTCTCTCAAATCTGTCAGTTTGAGAACAATACCCACATTTATTATTTAGGATATTTGGCCGCCTAATCCTTATGAAGTGATTTAACGTATATAGTGTTTGATAATCATCAAGTATTGGTCAACATCTAAACTTACTTGTCTTTTATTGACGCTTCCAGCCAAGAAATCCAGGTGGAGCTGAATCTATTCTGGGTGAAATGGATCAGTTAGAATTAGATAGTACAGTAGCTGGCTCTGTGGCTGGCTCTAATGCCATGCCTGATGACCTCATACCAGCCAATGCCACTGATGTATACAGGAATTATAAATTTAATCAAAGTCAGGGTGTAAATTTACCAATTAGCAGTCACAGAGAAGAGGTGAGTTGCCAGAATTGATTCCAAATTGAAAAGAGAGTAGACTAAGATTGGTGTGTCCTGGCAAAATTGCTCTCATTGCACCATGCATGATGTTGCCTGTCCTTAATAGGTCTTACAGTGCAGGAAAGTATGATTTAATGTTTTATTTCATTTTCCAGTTTCTAAACTGGATCTATGATATATGACTAAATCTTTGTGAAAATAATTGCTTCCATTTACTAAGATACCAGAAAATTTGTATCTGGTCATTATTTCAGATTGTTGCCACCATTGAAAGTAATCAAGTCACAGTTATTCAGGGTTCAACAGGTTCGGGTAAAACAACACAAGTACCACAGTTTATATTGGATCATTATGCCAGTGAGAATAAATATTGTAATATAATAGTCACACAACCTAGACGAATAGCAGCTACAAGTATAGCTAGACGTGTTTGTGCTGAAAGAAATTGGACATTGGGCTCAGTTTGTGGATATCAGGTATAACTATTGTAAAGTACATATGCCAAAGTAACAATTCAGTTCTCCAAACTCTGTTATTTTTTTCAAATAGACTTCTGCTGCAAATAAGTTTTGCAAGTTGTTAACCCTGAACTTTTGATGATACTGGACCTTCAAATTTTTATGTTAGAATTAATCATCATTTGTTTGGTTACAGCAATTTTGATCATTGGTGCTATTTTAGTTCATCGTAAATAAAATTTTGTGACCATGAACAGGTCATATTAACACATTATTCTTGATTATTGATAATTCCTAATCCCTTTTGTAAAAAGTCTTTATTTCTTATTATAAATTGTAGATTGGGTTAGATCGTAAAGCTACAGAAGACACTAGAATTCTATACTGTACTACTGGTGTTTTACGTGAAAAATTAGTTGGTGAAAAGAGTATGGCTATGTTTACACATGTTATATTAGATGAGGTTAGTCTCCAATAAAATTATAATTTTGATTCAACGACTTTGATGCAGATACAGACCAGTTTCGTTGATGATTGATATTTTTATCAGAGTTGACCATTTTATAAATTTTACAAATTTCGTATCTGAATATGTAAGATGCCTTTTATTTGAATTTGAAATCAGTGGTCCTCTCTTGAAGTATTGTGGGAAATAGAAAAACAAAACTTTGCCATAAGATTTAGATTTATGTTTACATTTTTTTTTCAGATTCATGAAAGAGATCAAGAATCTGATTTTGCTCTACTGATTGTGAGAAAACTTCTTAGAACAAATTCTAGAAATGTGAAGGTATATGTCTATTGGATGTTTTGAATGTTGGAATTTAACTGTCTGTTTGGTTTCTTCTTTTTTCTTATATTCAATACATTGAACAAGTGTCTGAGCTTCCTGAAGGACCGGTTGTACAGTATTAACCAAAGATTTAAACTGCTTATTTTGATGCAAATTGATCAAACATTATGAAATTTTGATTTAAGGTTATATTGATGTCTGCTACATTAGATTCTAAACAGTTTGCTCAGTATTTTGCTCTACCTATAAGAGATAAATTAGAACCAGCACCAGTAGTTAATGTAGAAGGTCGTGTATTTAGAGTATCAGAGTTCTATGCTAATGATCTTTATCCTGCTCTTGGTGATGTATGTTCTTTTTCCCTCGGTTATTTAGATAATATGTATTATGAAATGAAAATTGAAAGAAGAAACTTCTCTTGCATTCATTTTTGAAGATTTTTGCAGAGGAAAACTCCTTAAGCCTAAGGTTTTATTGTTTTTTATGTTTTTTAAGCTTCTATTGGACTTAATGGTCAAATGACTTAAAGCACATGTAGTGGTTGCATCCAAGATTAAAGTGTACATTAAAATATACATGCTCATAGAATCATCATTGCGATTTGATCTCAAGATAAAAACCCTTAATTTATTCATCAATCCCAATGTGTTTCTTATTATTTTAATAAACATTGCTCACCCTTTTAGAACACTTGTTGCCACTTTGCGATTTGGTTAGATAACTTAGCTTATGGTTCTTGGAGTTCACATAGTTGATGATAAGTCTGTGGTCTGTTTGTTGCTATTTTGTACCATTATGTATTGTATATTATAGCTACCTGTAGCTGATGATAGGAGTCCCTGTCTTTCTGAGGAAGCTTTACACATGTCAGTTAAACTTATACAAGAATTTGATAAGCTAGAAGTTAAAGAATCAGGGTAAGTCTGTTTTCTTTAAGCACATGAAATATTTAGTAAACCTTACCCTACAAATCTGACCCCACCAGTTCCTCAGATGTTATAATAGAAAAGAAGTTTATTGTCTGGCATCTATCCAGGAGGAAATCAGGTTTGATCATGAAGAATTAATCTTACAATATGCATATTTATTGTAGTACTCCATCATTGTTCAATTTTTGAAACCTTCTACTATATTTACACTATCACTGTATTTTTCTAAGTAAATACAAAATCAAGGAATCAATTTTCATACATACTGCATTAGGTCATGTGAAACTACCATCTTGAGATGGCCAGAATTTGAAACACTTGTATTGCCAGATATTTTCTGTAATATAAACACAGTTTTCAATTGTTGAATGTTTACACTATTTATGTTATGCTTTATTCTTATTCAGGAAAGATGCTGAAACAGGCTTTGCCCCAGTAAGAGGTTCAGTTCTAGCTTTCTTACCAGGTAAGTCATGAGATATTTAGAAACATCCCCTATCACACTATTTATATTGAAAAGTAATTTATGTCTATAGCCTAACTATGAAATAAGGAGGATATTCAGCTGTACTATTTAAACGGTAGATATGTATTTCATGTTGACTCTTCGGAAGTTTAACAAGTTTATTTATCTATCTATGTAGGTTATGGTGAAATATCAGATATGTTTGATTTGTTATTACCTCTAGAAAAAGAACATTGGTATGTAATTGTTGGCTTTTAAACTCTCTTACTTTCCTAAGACTAAAGATATATTACTCGTTTAACTTGTTTCTGATAATCTGGAAACCCTGATACCTACACACTATATAAACTATCTTGAAATTTGTTAAACCGAACGTTTTATAGGGAACGGACATGCACGTATAAACAGGTTCCACTGTATATTGATATGTGAAAAATATTTTAAAAGACTGAAGCATTCTTATAGTTGATTAAAGGGACAGATGTGCCATTGTTTTTAACCAATCATACTTTAGTCTCAGAAACAGGAATTTTTAGCTAAGCCAATCATTAATTGTGTTCACAGATCACCGTCAAAATTTGAGCCTTCAAATCCATGTGTGACAAGAATTGTCTGGGTTTGAATGTTCAAATGATGACTCATCAATTTAAAATACTCTGTGATATATAGAAAAGACATATAGAAATAGTGAGTAAAATTCCTAGTTCAAAGTATTCTAGGAATTATGTGATTTCCGTAATTTCTAGTACTTCTGGAGACTATTTGCATATATTCAAGACCAAAATCAACCCCCAAAATAGCTGTCCCTTTAACACGTTGAAATTGAAATAGATTTTAAAGGATTGTTTTAAAAGTAGATTATTGATATAATTAATGGTCATGATATATGTTATTTACAGTTTAAGGATAATACCTTTACATTCCACAATTACTAATGAAGAACAACAGAGAGTATTTGAACCTCCACCTAAAGGATATAGAAAGGTAGATTGATTGATTGTCATTATAGATACCCAATTCTATATAATGATGAATTATTTGAGGTTTTTTCGCTGCTTTACTCAAATTGTTCAAACAGTGGACAACAAAGTTTGGTTTTTGATATAATAAGTTTGAAGAAAATTCAGCTTAACCTTTCCTGTGGAAATTATTTATCAGTAAGCATAATTCACTTGAAGTTCGGTTTAACAGACATTTTCTTTTAATTTTATTTCAGGTTATATTATCTACCAATATTGCTGAAAGTTCTATTACAGTCACTGATATTAAATATGGTAAGTCTTTAAGGTATGGGCGTTCCATTATTTTGACCAATTGTACCTTTGTCTCAAAAACAGACCTTTTTTTAGCTAAGCCAATCAGCAAAAGTGTTCACAGCTCACTGTTGAAAATTTGAACCTTCAATTCATGTGTTTGTTGGATTGAAAGTTAAAAAGAAGAGTCATCTTTTATAAGACATCTATAGAATGTTTATACGATTTTCATACATTTGTAGTACTTCTGTTTGATATATTCAAGACTCAAATCAACCGGCCAAAATGGCACACAGATACATCTGTTACATAATGAATTTGTAGTTTAAATATTTACTGGTTTTCTTTCAGTTATTGATTTCTGTTTAACTAAAAGTCTAGTCTGTGATCCTGATACAAACTATACACATTTACAGTTAAAATGGGCATCGAAAGCTAATTGTACTCAAAGGAAAGGTATGGTTCTTTTTATCATTTCACTAAAGTGAACTTTAATAGTTTACTGCAGGTTTCAATACAGAATCATCTTTTCTTATTATTCCGGTCTGTAAATGGTAGAAGGTTTTCTCATGAAATTGAGTTTCTTTCTTTCTTACATCATAACTGATTCCTCACTTTGTGATTAATTTGACAACTCAATATTTCTTTGGAGATGTACATCTTAATAATGTTGATTTGTCATTAAATGAATTTGATTGATCTGTTGTAGGTCGTGCTGGTCGTGTATCAAATGGAAGAGCTTATTTTATGGTCACAAAGAATTTCTTTGAAGATTGCCTACCAGAATATGGTGTTCCTGAAATGCAGGTATTTAATTTAAGAATTTTGAAATAATTTTAAAATCTTGGCACCAAGAATTATAACAAACCCCAGTTTGATTTTATTGGTCTTATTTTGCTAGGAATATAGACTTCTTTGTGCAATTATTGTAAAAACTTCTAAGCTGTTGAAATGATCTAATTGAAGTATTTATATTGTCATTATATTTTGAGTACTATTAATTAGAATTTAATCTTTTCTCTTCAGAGATGTCCATTAGAATCGTTGGTATTAAAAACAAAGATTTTTGATATGGGGGAACCGAAAGCTATATTAGGTCTAGCTCTGTCACCACCTAGATTAGATGAAATAGAAAGAACTGTACTTAATTTGAAAGAGGTGGGATTTTTTATAGAAGTTATCCTTTAAAGGCTTTTTTCAACATTTCGAAGGGTGATGAGGGTCTTGAATTTATCTAAATAGTCTTCAAAAGTACTAGAACTGTACAATTCCTTTTCACTGTCTATTTCTATATATGTCTTTTCTATTTATGAGTCTTCTTTTTAACATTCAAACTTCTGGGCACATATGAGCGACAGTGAGCTGTGAACACTATTACTGATAAGCTTACTTAAAAATGTATCGTTTCTGAGACTAAGGATGTTGAATCTGTCCCTTTAAAACTCAATGCCACTGTAGAATTGTAAAAACGCTTAGGTTCTTAGTATGGTATGTATCATCGCATACACTTATATTTTGAAACTATTATAGGTTGGAGCACTAGCTACAGGATTAAGAGGAAGCAATGTGAAACATGATGGTGATCTAACATATATTGGACGTATATTAGCTGATTTACCATTAGATATTAGAATTGGTAAATTACTAGTATTAGGTCATGTATTCTGTCTATTAGAGGAATGCCTTATAATTGGTAAGTGTTGGTATGGTATTTATGTAATTTTAATATCCTTGAATTGTCAATATGTGACAAAATGAAAAATAACTGGAATTACAAAATTATTTTTGATGTATATTTCTTGTGTCATGGATAGCAAGCATGAATAGTTATTTACCATCAGAAAATAAAGGATTAAGCTTCAAAATGTAACTTTTAATGTATTTTCTAGGTGCTGCCTTGTCATTAAAGAGTGTATTTGCCAAACCATTTAAAGCTAAATTAGATGCATACAGGTAAGATATGTAATTGATAGTTTGAGGATGATTTATTACATGTTACCATAGCATGATGTAGTGGTCTTTTCCATTATGAAATCATGCTATATCACATAAAATTCATTTATAACAGGTCTTTTAACATTGAAACTATATTTTTAGGCATAAACATGGTTGGGCTGATTGTACATTAAGTGATTGTTTAGCTATACTTAATGCTTATAAGGTTTGTAACTATTTTTGTTAAAGTCTATGCACAAGCTAAACTAAACATAGGCTTAGAGGACATTGATGGTGCAACCCAAAATAGAGCGATATGACTCTATGGGTTTTGTATCCTGTAATTTGTCAAGTTTCCCAACATCTCTGCAGGTCGTATAGGTTGACAAGAAAAAAGTGTCTTGTAGTTCGATTAAGACAGTAGACCGAAACCTTGAAAAAAAATTGAAATGATTAGAGGATTAATCTTACTTCATTTAACTACAGGTCTGGGAAGAGAAAAAGAAAATGCATGAATTTCGACGAACTGGTCAAAGTGAAAAAAGATGGGGAGAATTGAATTTTATACAGATTCGTAGAATAAATGAAGTAGCAGAGCTAGCTAAGGAAATAGAACAGAGACTACAGAGATTTAGTATAGAAAAACCTAGACAACGTCCACATTTTAAAGATGATATTAAAGATCCACAAGAACGTTTATTGTTAAAGGTAGGGCTTTATTTTTACATTGGGCTTCATAGGATATAATAATTCTATATGTTTTGAATTGTATTTCAGCTTTACAAGATTGCAAACATATTGTAAATTAAAAGTATATTTGAAACATTATTTTATTTTGTAGAAAAAAAAATAAAGCCATAACAAAAGGAAACTAGAGCCACACGTGGCACAGAGTGGGACTTTGCAAATGTAGCAAATTGCAAAAGACCCTGAAAAAATCAACCTTCCACGATAATTAGATCATGTGCAAGAACAGTCTAAAGTTGAGAAATTTTCATTGTTTAGAAGATTCTAATACCGGAAGTAGACGTCAGACCTCACAAATAAAAATATCAGCAGATAGCCAAGGTCAATGACCTTTGATCTTGTAAAAAAAAAAAAAGAAAGTCTAAAAAGAGATATATGTCATCAAAATTTCTAATTGCACACGACTATAAAACCGGAAGTTGACATAGGACAGCAAATATAAAAGTATAAATAGATAGCCAATGCCAATGACGTTTGATCCTACAAAGGTCAAGGTCAACAAAGGTCAAGGTCAAAAATTGAAAATTTTGAATTTCCAAAACCTGTTCCTTTTTTTGAACTATGAAGCGGAAACAACCGAACTTCTAAGACAAAGTGGCTCAAAACATGAGATAATTGTATGCAAAGTACCATTTTGAACAAATAATGAGTAATTTAACCCGGATGTGCCACGCCCACCTCAATTGTTTTTTTGCATAGGTTAATTGATATTCAAAATGTTATGTCGTGTTCCAAATTTCAAGCTTCTACATCATACAGGTCAAAAGATATAGGTCAAAATCGAAAAATGAAAATATCCAAATGTAAAAAACCTGTTCCTTTTTTGGAACTATAAAGCTGAAACAACTGAGCTGTTAACACAAACTGGCCAAAAGGATGAGGTAATTGTGTGCAAAGGCCCTTTTTGAACAAACGCATCCTATGCGAGTTATGCCCCTGCCTCTAAATGTAAACAATTAGTACTTCAACCCAGATGTGCCACGCCCACATAAGTTTTTTTGTCATAGGTGGATTCATATTCAAAGTGTCTAGTTATATTCCAAATATCAAGGTTCTACATCAAATAGATCATAAGATATACAGACACCAAGCTCAAAAAGTCAAAAACCCTATGAAGGTCAAGGTCATCAAAGGTCAAGGTCGCGAGAAATATGCTTTCAAACTTTGAAAAAATTCAACCGGAAGTTGCGAAAATGCAAAAGCAAAATTCAAAAATCGACTGGCAACGTTTTGTGAACATTAGACAGCAGATTACATCAACACCAAATTTATGCAGATTTAGTTTATCCCTAAGGACTTATTTCGATTTTAAGAAAAATTAGAAAATCAAGATGGCGGCCAAAGTATCACTTCCAGTCTGGATTTTTTCTTCGTTTTTTTGTATTAGCATTTACTTACGACTTGCATAAATTCCGTTGACCTATTTCATTTACACTGGAAGTTATTCGATTGGAAGTAGATTGTACTTTCAATTGATTCCACCTTCAAAACCGGAAGTGACGTCAAAACTCTGACATATCATTGACTTTATTGATGTCTCTTTGCATTTTAAATTTCAGATCAATCGATGCAAAAACAAACAAATTTTTGAATTTCGTAATTTTTCAAGTGCTATCTAATCAGAAATTACAGCCAGATTTTAAAAAAGAAAACCCGAAGAAAACCGATGCAAAAATGCGCCTTCCAGAGCCAATTTATGAGTTTTTGCATATGTTGCACTGTGGCACTTACGGTTTGCAAAAATGTTCCAATTCATATTCATTAACAACGTTGCCACTGCAGAAGGTTTACACATGTAGAAATGTAGATGTAGCTATTGAAGCCTAGGCTGTGTGCCCTGTGGAAATTTCGAAAAAAAAAAAAAAGAATTGACATTTCGATAACAAACTGGGACTTTGCTGAAAGCAAAGTCCCACAAATATTAAAAACACATTATAGAAGAGTAACATTGAAATCATTGCATATATAGAGGCATAGATATGATATAAAGCAATGTTGAAGAAAACTATAAAAACACAAAATAGAAAAAAATATTAAAGTACAATATTGAAAACACAATGTAGAAAAAACATGATATCGAAAAAAAAATTTAGAAACCTAATATAGTAAAAAAAAAACATTGAAAACACAATGTAGAAAAATTTTGAAAACACATACAGTAAAAAAAAATATTTGAATTTTCAAGATACAATATACAAAAAAATATTAGAAACATGATATAATAAAAAAAAATATTAGAAGCATATTATAGAAAAAAAAACGGAAAACACAATATTGAAAAAAAATTTTGAAAACACAATATCAAAAGAAAATACTGAAAACACAATATAGAAAAATATTAAAACATACTATAGAATAAAAAATATTAAAAACGTGATATAGTAAAAAATAAAATGGAAAACAGAATGTAGAAAAACAATTTGGAAAACACATTATAAAAAAAATACTAAAAAAGAAAAATATTGAAAACACAAAAAAGAAAAAAATATTGAAAACATAATATAGAAATAAATTATTAAAACAATATATATGAAAAAAATATTGATAACACAATATAGAATTTTTTTGAAAACGTGATATAGAAAAACATTATTGAAATGATAATAATGAATGAAAAATATTCAAAATGTGATAAATTAAAATTGAAATGGAAAACACATGGTAGAAATAAAAATGGGAAAACACATCACATAGAAAAAAAATACTGAAAGAACTATACAGTAAAACTATATTGAGAGCACAGTATAGGAACAATTCTGAAAACACATATTGAAAGCACAATCTAGATAAACATTATTGAAAGCACAATATAGATAAACATTATTGAAAGCACAATATAGAAAAACATTATTGAAAGCACAATATAGAAAAACATCATTGAAGCACAATATAGAAAAACATTGAAAGCACAATATAGAAAAACATTGAAAGCACAACATAGAACACATCATTGAAAGCACAATATAGAAAAACATTGAAAGCACAATATAGAAAAACATCATTGAAAGCACAATATAGAAAAAACATCATTGAAAGCACAATACAGAAAAACATTGAAAGCACAATATAGAAAAACATCATTGAAAGCACAATATAGAAAAACATCATTGAAAGCACAATATAGAAAAACATTGAAAGCACAACATAGAACACATCATTGAAAGCACAATATAGAAAAACATTGAAAGCACAATATAGAAAAACATCATTGAAAGCACAATATAGAAAAAACATCAGTGAAAGCTCAATATAGAAAAAACATCATTGAAAGCACAATATAGAAAAAAAAACATCATTGAAAGCACAATATAGAAAAAAAAACATCATTGAAAGCACAATATAGAAAAACATTATTGAAAGCACAATACAGAAAAACATTTTTGAAAGCACAATATAGAAAAACATTATTGAAAGCACAATCTAGAAAAACATTATTGAAAGCACAATCTAGAAAAACATTATTGAAAGCACAATATAGAAAAACATTATTGAAAGCACAATATAGAAAAACATCATTGAAAGCACAATATAGAAAAACATTATTGAAAGCACAATACAGAAAAACATTATTGAAAGCACAATATAGAAAAACATTATTGAAAGCACAATATAGAAAAACATTATTGAAAGCACAATACAGAAAAACATTGAAAGCACAATATAGAAAAACATTATTGAAAGCACAATCTAGAAAAACATTATTGAAAGCACAATATAGAAAAACATTATTGAAAGCACAATCTAGAAAAACATTATTGAAAGCACAATCTAGAAAAACATTATTGAAAGCACAATATAGAAAAACATTATTGAAAGCACAATATAGATAAACATTATTGAAAGCACAATATAGAAAAACATTATTGAAAGCACAATATAGATAAACATTATTGAAAGCACAATACAGAAAAAGCATCTTAAAACTCATAGAAAAAGAAAATATTGAAAACACAAGATAGAAAATTAAATGTTGTTTTATGTCCTACTCTTCTACAAAAAGATATAGATTTAGATACGTTTTTGGCAAATGAAAATTGTTAGAAATAAGTTTTCTGGACCTTTAATTCTTAAAATTAGTACAAAATCTGAGCCCCTGCACCAATTCATTCCTGGCAACGGAGCTGATCAATTTTGGTTTATGACGTTTAGGTAGTCAATGATATATCATCATATTAATCATAGCACTATTTCAGACTGAAAGTTATGATTATTTTCGTATTTAAAAAAACACAAGGCGCAGTAATCTAGAATGTATTTAGAAATAAAGGATTCATAGTTTGGGAATAGTTATACTGAGTTGAATTGATTATGGTTTGGAATGCAATGTGCTATGTTAAGATATTTTGGTTGGGATTTGGTTTCAATAGGTGGGGCTATTACATCTATGGTTCTGCATTTAGTCATCTCAGTTTTTATAGCCACCTTGTAAAACGTATTTCAAAGTATTTTTATCTTACTGGTCAAGGCTAGTTTTTTTTTCTATGATATAAGTAACAAATCTATGTTTGTATTAAAGAGATTAAACTTCAAACACTTTATTGAGTTAAATACATAGACAATAAATCTCATAGAAGCTATTCTTTCTATTAATAGCCTAGACTACTGTTTGCCAAGGTACAAAGCTAGTAACAGTTATATAGCTATTTATAGTGTAAAGGTCAAAGTAACCTGGATTATTCACTACATATTTGAAATAACATATCTTGCATACATTCATTTTAACTGAAAACAAATACATTTGTGTTAGTTATTAGCCAAAGAGTAAAGAGCTTGAAATCCCCAGGGTATTCTTAATATAGTAGTAACAGTTTGTGAAAAGATGTCTGCTTATCACACACGACTGTCAATATGTTTGATCATAGATGTGTATCTAGGTTAAACCACTCCATGACTTCCTATACTCTCCCTTGCTTAACGTTTTCTTTGTTTTCTGATACACTTCTTCATATTGTTATGGTTTTCTTCAAATTTGGAGGTTATTAGACATTCTTTTCTTAAAGATAAAATATCGAAAAATTCATGAATGATGTGTACTAATGTATAAAAAATAACTAAAATTGTGATACTAGTATTGATTTTAAAAGCCATTCATTCTCAATTGTGTAAACCATATAATAGATGAATTGGCTATATTTATGACGTTAAGAAGGACCTGAATCAAGCATACTTACCTGGTACGGGAGGCACCGTGATCAGCAAGGCGGTCCTCCCAGGGTGAGGCCTTTCCATTGCACACCGGATTGGCTGACCCCTGCGATCGCCCCAAATGTGGGCGACTCGAGTACGTAATTTTTTAGTGTGGGGGACTGCGTTCGCGCTATCCCCTGGAAATTCAATTCAAAAGAGCTCCTTCTCCCTAGAAATAAATGTCCTTTCTAAAATATCCCTAATATCAGGACTTTCAAGATTTTTATGAGCTTTGATAAACTGTTGATATATATTTTGTAAAAGACACAAGTATAATCAAATAATATGATTTCTGTTTTCAGATAGTTATAGCTGGTTCTTTCTATCCTAATTATTTTCTTAAGAATGAAATAGATGAGATTGATGCTATAAAACAACTATCTAATAATGATCCCATGAATACAGTAATGGTAAGTGTATCTTTCATAATAATAATAATTATTGATTATTAATAGCCACTTATGAAAAACTATTTGCTTTTTTAAAGAATTAAAATTAAATATCTATTTTTAAGAAGCCACAAAGAAAATTTTATTATGAATATGATGAAAATATTTTATGGCTATTTTACAAAAAGGATGAAAATATTACAATTTACTGAAGAAAGCTACGATAATTTATGAAAGGGATAAAAATATTTAATAGCTCTGTTTTATGAAAAGAATGAAAGTATTTGATATTGAAGAAAGCTACTTCATAATAAAATATAATAAACAGTTATATAGAAGATTTAATAGCTTTTTTAAAAATATTTACTAATTTTACAAGAAATTTTCTTTTGAAATAAAAAATGGACAGATTTTGAACATTATTGTTATTGTTAAATTGAAGAATTATTGAAGACAAGCCCCTTGTGGGGATAGAAAGTTCAATTCTCTAACTTTCTCTTATTAATTTTCACAGTTAAAAGGTTTACCTGCTAATCAAGGGATGTTATATAGAGAGAAATTAGAACATACATTTAGATGGTGCTATTCTGGTCCACCACTTGTCATTAGTTTTGAAGAAACAAAGTAAGTGTACTTAAAAAAATATTTTAATGACAGTTTGTTTGACTGTTACAGGTCCGATATCGTAAAAATATGATTGGTCAATCACTAAAATGATATTTTAGATTTATTTGCATTATTCAATTAGATTAATGAATTTTTTTTTGTGTGTTATTTATTAGTTTTGAAAAATGAGGCCCATGTAAATTATAACTGTTCTATAAATTATTCAAATATTTATTTACTTATTTCCGGATATTTTGTTACATTTTGACACTTTAGTGCTTTCAAAGCAACCGATTCTCTTAACTAATTCTCAAGTCATTTTCAGAGCTTTCATTCAGTTTCCATGGAAGAATAATACAAGATATGAACATAAAGTACATCAAGCTGTTTACATGGCAATTAAATTAAGGTTTGTTTGATTTGGGTTTTTTGTTACATCAGCTGTGAAAAAAGGCTTGACAATTTGAAATTTACTGTTAATCATCATAGAAATGTATGATACTGAAGAAGCTATTTAGATACAGTTTGATTAACATTTCAATAAGGAATATTTTTGTCTTAATGGCAGCTTAATTTCAAATAGCTGGAGCTATGTTCCACAATAAATTTTAAACATATATAACAGAAGTTTTCAAACTGGGGGCAATGTTGAAATTTTTGTGAAATGATGTGGGCCTTCATAGTCTAGCATAAAATGTTCTGAAAAAGATTGCAGGGATCATCATGAAATAGTAAGAATGTAATGGGTAATCAGAAGAACAGGTTGAAAAACTCTGATATATAATTAATGGACCACAATTAAATAGTTGTTGTAATGTACATCTATTTGATATTTAAGATTATTAAGAATACCTATAGAAGTAGAAGTTTATAATAGAGATGATGCTCAATTATTAATGAAACAGTTACAAGATGCTAAAGATGATGCTATTGAAGATGGTAGACTTCGCACAAACAGGTACATGTAGTTATTTATAGATATAGGCCTTGAAATAATGTGGCCAGGCATGTGATGGAGTGGATTTCCTGTCGTATGTAGCATTTAGTGACAAAAATTAGCTAATATGAATTAATATAATCTAGCGAATAGGCATTACTTGAAATTATGTCAATATTTGATAATAATAATAATAATTGAAAAAGCTTTAAAGATATCAATTAGGTAGATTCCTTTTGTTTCATGATTATTTGAAGGCTAAAATTTCTATTTCGTCAATTTTTTTTTAAATTTTCATTTAAAATACAGAACTGTTTGGATAAGAAAATTATTAATTCATTTTCCTTTTTCTTCTCTGTTATTGTAGAGTTATGGCATCAGAAAGTGTTTTTGGTGAACAAATACAAACAGATTCACTAGTTGTCCCTCCACCAGGACCTGAAGAGTTATTCTGTACTATGTGTGTTACTGAGGTAAGTGTAAGATAAATGCAGATGAAAGTGTTTCATGTCATATTTTGATCATAGAAAATATTTCTTAAAATTGAGTACGCTTGAATTTTGTCCTGTTGTATCTTGGTTATGCTAATACAGCTAAAAACTCTTTTACCCAAATATTCCATATTTCCCAGAAATTAGTTGAGAAAGATTTCTTTAATAAAGCATTTGATTTTAGAATTCATAGATAATGAATATCAGGTTGATAAATATTTGATGATTGTTTGCAGACATGCTTTGTCCAGACTAATCATAGATATTTTGATTGTAATCGAAGTAAACTACATATATACATTTCGATTGAAATCTATTCTATTTGATATTTAAAGGTTATAGAATGTGGTCACTTTTGGATTCAGTATGTAAATTCTCAAAGATTTCAAGAATTAAAATATATACAAGATTCTTTAAATGTTAATAATGGACAGAATTTAGAAGTGAGTATTTATTTATTATTTAATTACTAGCTTGAATCAACTCTAATTCTTTGACTAGATTAGACTTCTGCTATCCATGGCTTTGTTTTTAGATTTTTATATTAAGACTTTATGTTGCAATAGTTTTCAAAGATCTATTGATAGTCAGAAATCGAAGAAAAATCCTTGTAGTTTTCAACTCATTGCACTGTACATTCCTTTTCACTACCCCTGATCAGGAGCAGAATAGTAGAACGGTCATTTCATCTGAGTCCTTTGACTTATGTAACATAGATATACTATAATGTAATTGAATGACACAGAAATGATATAATATATATATTATGTGTTTTAGCCTCTAACAGGATTATTAAAACCAGGAATGTATTGTGCAGCACCGTTCAAAGAGAACGATTCTGTAGCATATTATCGTGGACGTATAGAATCTATAGATAATCAAAGTGATCCAACAGGTCATAAAACTAAAGTTCAGGTATGTCATTTAATATGTGCTTTTTGTGTCAGCAGGCTTGATTTTTCCTGCATATCTCAAAACAGACTCTTGATTAAGATTTGTTTTCTAGGCATGAACATAAAACGACTCAAATGTGAGGGAATTTGTTAAAGAAAATGCCAAATGCGGAAACAGTTTTTGCTGAAATAGACACCAATGCAGTAAAGACCAAAACATGGAGGATATGCTTATTTATAAACAAGCACTAACTAATATGCATCTATTTATATAGCAATATGTAACATCAACTATGGACAATTATTTATGTAGCTGGTAGCCATGTTTTCAATCAATGTATTTCTAGGTATTTTTTGTTGACTATGGTAATACTCAAATAACACCAAGAGCTTTATTAAGGGTTTTACCAGATGCATTTTTAAGCGTTCCATTTCAGGTGAGAATATAACACAATAAATAAGATTTTAGTTTGATAAATTTATATACACATCCTCTAAATGTATACTTCCAGTAAACTAAGCTAGTTTGCGAATAGCTTGACGTCATTTGTTAATTATCAGGAAAATGGTGAACTTTTTTTTTTTAACTCTGTCTCTATGTGAAAGTTTCACCTCAAAAAGACCTGGCTCTTACTGTTGAGCCTACTTATGTGGTTAGTCCAGTTAAATATGAAGATTTCTATTCTGTTTTGATGTTATTGTTCTAGGCAGTGGAGTGTTTTTTAAGTGGAATTCGGCCGTCTGCTGTTAAATGTCCAGATGGAGTATGGAGTAGAGAAGCTAATAATAAATTCAGAGAGAAAGTTCTTGGTAGAAATATGTTTGCTCAGGTTATTATTCAGATTTCATTTCATTATTATGTGTGGTTATTTTATTGTCACAAATCTTTACTTAACAACTGCGCTACATTGATTTGCCTTGATATGTATTGATACGCTATATCATTATGTGACAAACTACAGTTTATCAAAAGATAGTGGACCACAGCCATATACGGCCACCACGGCATGCGGATGGTAAAAAGGAAACATCCGTTTTAAGTTTCGTGATAATCGGTTGAAAACTAAGAGAGTAATAGCATATTTAAGATTTTGGGGCAAGGGCAATAACTCTGCTTCTAACAGTCGAAAATAGCTCAAATTCAAACTTGATCTTCGTTTTATGAATATGTATACACATACCGAATTTCATTTGATTCCATCAAAAAATCTAGTTTTTAGAGCGTTTACAAGCAAATGTTAACGGACAGACGGACAGTGGTGTCGACAATATACGTCCACATATAGCGATGTGGGCATATAAAAATTAAAGGGAGAAAGGAGTGGTAATGAAAACGTAAATATTAGGTGTGGCTTGAAAACTATGAAATTTAGGAATAAACAATAATTCTGGTCATTTTCTACAGATATTCTCAGTAGTAAGAGATGCTATAAGAGTAGAATTAATAGAAAAACAAGCCAATGGTTTTGAATACAGTATAAATCAAGAATTGATACGAAGAGGATTTGCAGACCAAGCTGAAGAATCTTATTTATCAAAGGTTAGTTTTGAATGTATTAAAGCTGCTATATTGCTCATATGTCCTAATTAGTAATAAACTTTACTTTCTAGAAATGAAATCAGATCTGTAAATGATATACACAAAAGGTACCTGTACTATATAACATGAAATTCCTTCTTTCCAGCAAAATCATGATGCCAGAGAATTAGAAAGAATACAATTATCTACTAATACAACATTAGATCAAGATATAGCAGCTAAACAGGGCTTTCTATCAATTCAACTTAATACAGATAAAAATATCAGAAAACGGGGAAAAAGGGTTAGTGATCTAAATACATCTGTTTAAAGATTGAGAATTTGTTTATTAACTACACTAATGGCTACATTTTCAAATATTGTCTCAAGTCAGATATTTATTCTTAAGAGAAAGCATGAATTAAGTGTTAATCCTTTCAATAGGCTAATTGGAATCAGTTGAACCAAACTGAACTGATGGTAGTTTTAACTTAAATTTACTATCCTTTAGCAAGCAGTTGTTATTGAATTGGCTGGGATAAGTTTTCCTTCCATATTTGCTTCATCATTATTCCATTTTTTTGTCTTTTTTTAGATTCGTCTTGTAGGACCACACAGTCCACTAGAAATGGCTTTTGCAAATATGACTTCACTGGGTAGATTAAGGTAAGAGACTTATTTATGGTTGTTCTGTCATGTGGTTTGCACTGAAATTCAAAACTCGCATTAATGCATGGCTGATTTTTCTATTGTATAGGGTATCAAGAATAGATCAAGACAGTGTCAACTCTGTTGCTATAGATGATGAACCTCAAAATAAACAATCTAGGATGATGGTGGCTTCATTTGTTGGTTTGGATCCATCTGGTAACAAGATGATAGCTAGAGATACAACTATCATGCCTTTAATAGATGGTTTACCTGCTTTAATTACATTATTATTTACTCCAGTAGCAGAATTAAGGTAGGTTTAATTGTTTGCACATTGAAAGTTGGATTTCAACTTGTTATTGTTTTGTTGTTAACAGGAGTTGTAATGATCTGAACTTGAAATTTTGTCTAAGTTATGATTCTGGTTTTAAAATTGATTCAGTCCATATTAGCATGAAAATAAATGTTCATGGTACAGTGCCTGCTTTCAAACAGTTTTAGAAAAAGCTCACTTTAAGCATTTGTACTGCAGTTAGCACTCATTCTATCAGAATGAGCTCATAGGCAAAACATGAACACAACTTGTCCACTTAATTTTCAGATAGCTTTATAAGTAATAAACACAATAGAAGTCTGGCATGTAGGCCTATAGTTTGAATTGAAAAGTTTGGAAACCGACCTGAATGTGTATAAAAAACATCTTTGTTCCACTATACAGCCCTCAAAGCCCAAAGAAAATGTATCTTATAGTCAGTATATTATTAATATATTGTAGAACTGATAAAAGAAGAGAAAGATATATTGGTGCTCTATGTGGTTTAGGTTATGATACACACACTGGTTATGCTATATTACCTGATCATGATATAGAACTCACATTTGATACTAAAATTGATATTAATGATATCTCTAAGGTAGGCCAGATACTTTTTTTTTCAACTAAAATGTTCAATGATGATGGTTTGAAAAGGTTTAAAAGGACCCAAGATGTGTGAATAGATGTTATATCAAAATATTTTCATAACATAACCCTACTATTGCAAAACTGTTCTTTCCACACTGTAAAGATGTTTTCTATGCTTTTTATGTGTATTGGGGCTAATTGTGTCATCTATTTGCATCATTCTAATAACGTCAGTTGTCTGTGGTTCCTGTTATTATAGAAATTCTTAATGCAAATGAATATTTTATCTGTAGCAATGTAGCGATGTAAAAAGCCAAAAAAAAGCTTTATTTAGGGGAATTGCAAGACTGACAGAAAATTTGAATGGTACAAATAGATGATTTTGAATTAAATTTCCATCTATGCAGTTTTTACAAACCAAATGAGAATGTAGATTTTGAGAAAGCATTGAGAAATCTTTTGGCATTAAAATCAATATACATATATAAAAGATATATTTCAGAGTGAATAAATATAAAATATGTTGTGTTGTAGATCAATGGTATAAGAATGGCCATTAATTTAGCAATTGGTAATCAGTCAACTGTAGCCGGATGGGGACCTGATGCTGTATTTAGATTACAGAAAAAAGCTAGAGAAAATATGATTCAGTAAGCAGTACTTTTTATCACCACAATCAAATTCCTAAATCTTGAATGATATTTTTACTAGAGAAACTTAGATTACCTTTTGACTCTTGCTCTCACTTTCAACCAATAACTTTAAAGCTAAGAAGATTGCCATTACATTTTTGACTATTGACTGAAAAGTAGGCATTAAACAAAGTACGTTTCCACTTTGCATACATCTAATCTGTCTTTGTAATTTGAAAGAGAATATCTTGAAATGTGAAAGAGTTTTAGGTACTGTGGTAATTAACTTCCTTATCTTATCCCTAGGTTGATACAGAAAAGAAGGGAACCAATGGAACCATATGATTATGAAAGAGCTTATTCCTGGAACATGGTAAGTAATCCACAATAATGCACTGAAACCACAGGAGGAATTTCATGGTAAAAATAAGGAAGGCAAGAAAGCAATACAATACATAATAAATTTACATATCAATATAAGATAATGCTATAGAATTTCATGTTTTATAGATGTTTGTAAAGGTAGATTCCCAATCATTGTTATACTTATAGTCAAACACAGATGTCCCTTTCAAACATAAAAACAAGCTGTCTACTTTATAAAAATGAATAGTAATAAAGTAAAAAACGGATGAATCAATAAGATTCTTTCATCTTATCAGTGCATTGTGTCTGATAAAATAATCGCAAAATATCAACAAGATTATTTATCAGCCTCCTTTTAATAATAAATGATAAAGAATTCCTCTGTATATAAGAAATGGTGTCATAATTTGATTTTTTGATATATTTTTCACTGTTAGTGAATCAAATCTCAACTTACATAATCGTTACAGCCTTGGCAATCATTATAATTATTTCAGGTTGATGAAGCCAATATTTTGTCTCATGACTTACCTATAGATGAAGATTACTCCATGTTGAATCCACACAGTGGTATTGTTTTAATAGAAGAGGAAACAAGAGAATCTGATGAACTTAAGAAACATTTAGAAGTTTTATATGAATTCTCTAGAAGGTAGGCTAAAATAATTAATGTAATAGTTGTTATGTTAAAATAGGATTTAGTAACTAATAGCCTGAAAATTTTGAATTTTTCACTTTTAATGTAATATGATCTGGGTTTAATTTTTTCCAGAAAAATGCTATCCAGTTTGTCTAGTATTCTGTCTTTTAAAGCTTATTAAACAAGATATATAAATATTCCTTTCAACAATTTGATTATAATTGTCATTGACGTATTTCAAGTACCAAATCTTCTGAACAAGAAGCTAGCAGAGAATTACATATTTTTTTCTCTTTTCAGCCATAGACGTGAACCAATAAAATGCCAGTTATGTAACGTAACTTGTCAGACACCTCAACTTCTTGCTCTACATTTACAAACACAAGCCCATACAAATCGTGAACAAAAACTTTACAGTATGTATGGTAACTAGTACAGTAACTACTGGTAGTAACTTATATGTTTAAATGCTCACATTTCAAGTTCTAGACCTCCGTCCATAATTTCCGTTAAACCTCATTTTTTTTTTTCTCTTTGAAAAGTAAAATAACCAAATGTGAAGCACATTTGTTGCCATAATGATATCAAGGAGATTCTGAAGATTTCGTGTTTTAAGTTACATGAGTATCTTTATACATGGATGAAAGTTAAAATGAGATTTCTTCAAATCATTGTCATAATAAGTCATTCCATCATTATGTTAATTCATTTTATATAAAACCTCTTTTTGAGAATATGGTGACTTTCCAAGGTTTCCACAATATGATCTCCTCTAACACTTGTATTTTTTATTATTGTGCAGTTATTCATACTGCTATCATACTTCTAGTCATTTTGTTATTCATATACTTCATTATTTTATCAGTTAATTGTATGTATGCTTATTTGGAAATGTTTTCAAACGTAAGCACTAATAGAACTGTATTTTGAGGTACTTCTTAAAGAGAATTTTTAAATATTATATGTGTATCGGGGACACTAAAAGCATCAATTTACACCATTCCAATTTTTCGATCAGATATATGTGCTTCCTTTAATTCCACTAAAACTAAGAATTTTGATGACGTTACTAATAGCAAAAATTGTTTGCGATTATTGACAATAATCCTTTGTTTACATCTGAAAATATCGAAATCTTGTTATGTCTTTCTGAGGTTTGTTTATTTGTTTTGTTACAGTGTTTGTTCTTCATATATATATTTATTAATGACATTTACTTAGTTCCAAGATATGGAAATAAACCTTGTTTATATTTTGTACAAGTTTTGGCTGTGTAGAACCACGGTATATATATACTGTATATTTAAGTTTGTAAGAATTAAAAAAATTCATCAATTACTTCTTGTCTGTCTATAAAAAAGTATTGGTAGCAGTTGTAGAGAGGAGATTGTTGTTACTTGCTATGAATCAGCATCGCACAACTTAAGAACTGAAAGTCAAATTTTAATTCTGTAATTGTTGAAGCAGTTGAACGTTAAGCGGGCTTTGAATCTGGACTTACAGCTGAATTTCAGCTCCATCAAAGGAAAGGATCTGGTAAAATGCGAGGTGCTTGTGTCAAATGCTGAGGCAAAATCACCTAATTCAGAAGCGCTTCAGGTCCAATGTAGAATCAGACTTTAATATTACATTTACAATTTAATAAACCTGTTTTATAGTAAAGTGATGATCAGTATTCAATTACCCATTACTAATAAATTTAATAGGTACAAACTGATCATTTCAATCCAGGAAAACAAAGACTTAAACATAGCATTTTAATTAGATTTAATTTATATTTTTGTAGTTCCACATATTTTGAAATGTCTTCCATGACCTTTGGCAGTTTTGAAATATTTATGACATACACTGCACTCATAATTTAAATACTGATGCATATATTGGTGTTTTTCAAACCAGTCTTTCTTCCGAAACATGGCATTACAGAATGGTTTACAGCATTTCAATATCATTTTATCAGATGCAACATATTCTGAATGGCTTTTTACATGCTTTTCATATTTATTAACTTTAGAGAAAGTTTTATTACAATATCCACACTTCAAATCTTTTCCCTTTCGCGGCTTGTCACCATGAGTTTGAAAATGGTTGAGGAAATCATCAGAGAGAATCACACACTCATAATTACATATATCACACACGTACCTGACTATATCATTTTTCTGTTCATGCATTCGCATATGCATAGTCACCCCATTCTTCGAGTCAAACCAACGACCACAATCAACACATTCTAAACCAGTTTTCTCATCATCATTCTTCACAGGTTCCGTTGAATCTTCAACAGCAGGTTTATACAAAGAAGTTCTGCATCGTAAGCAAACTATGTCGTCAATTAATCTATTCTCTTTTGTTGGAGTTAAACAAATTTTCTGTTTACAGAACTCACAATGCTTAATAATACTTCCATCAGATGATTTCTTTTTTATTTTATGATACTTTTCCTTATGTATAGTGACAGCTTTAGTTGAGAACAGAACTTTCTTACATTCATCACACACGAATCTCCCTGTTACATTTTCTGAATCACTTTCTTTTTCATGATCCAAGTCTGATGTCTCACTTGTGCAACTGATGTCAGATTTCTGTGAGGCAGGATTCTCTTTTGCCTTTCTTACATTTTGACTGCTTTTGGTTTTAGACCTCTTGATTTTAAAGTCCATATTTAATTATAAGCCTCCTGATTCTTGACACAACTGATAACTGAAACAAAATTAAACAAAGACCCCTGTTAGTATAATTCTCCACAAACATTTAGAAATTTAAACATATGTGGTCCGGACTTCCATTTGACCAAGGCACAATCTTTACAGAATCTCATTTTGCCAATTTGAATTTGTTTTTTGTAAGAATTGAAATATCAATTTTAATATAAGTAGGCCAATTTAAAATAAGTTTTTTTTTATTGGCAACCCATCTAGAAAATAGTCCATTCCAAATGTGGGTCATTTTCATGGAAAATTCTGTGTACAAGTGACAAATCGATGGTTAGGCAAAAGTTGGAATGGTGTACACACTTAATTTCTAAAGACAGGCATGAAAGTAGTCTCTCCTATCCAGCCAAACTTTATTTACGAACAGTTTGCAAAGACGAGACCGAGACTAGCATGGAAGGGTAACAAAATTGACCTTCAACATTAAAGAGCATTTATTCATGGGAGGTAATTAAGCAGCTACAGACGACAAATAGTGTCATTTAAAAAAAAGACGAAAATAAGGATCTAACAAGAACAATCTGAACACGAATATTTAGTCCTTGGAACTCACTACCCATTCTCTGTATATGGTATTGGAATGACACGTTGTTCTTTCTTCTTGCTGTCTGTTGCAATTCTTCTTGCTGCCTAGCTGTTGCAATTCATCCGAGAATATTAACTGAACAGGATAATCATCACAAGTGCGTGGGAAGTGGCAACGTAGGCCTATGCGCCCGGGCTATATACGCCTTATACAGAATCGGGTTTTACACGGCCAATCTTCTTAAACTAAGATCTATGTAAAGCCTTTCTACATTCTCCCCGTAAAGTGTAGTCTTTAGTTTTCATGGAACTTGGCAAATTATGAAGGTGATGTTATGAGCTGTAGCCTTCTGCAAAATTCAAATAAAAAGTTAATTTCTTTTGATTCAAAATTGAAAAAGGTTTAGTCCAACCGATCATCATAACACTTGTTTATGTTTCTGTTTTAATATGATGATTGTTGATATGAAATGAATGGAGTTTTACGTTATCTGTACCGTGTGGGCTAATGAAGACGGGCAATGTCATGCAGGGTACAATGAGGGAAATTTTGCCAGGTCAGTGGCATTGGCCTGCTCATTTTTGATTTCCAACTGCTGGGGGATCTATAACTTGCACAACCTGCAGCACACAGGGCCTGGGTTTATTGTCCCATCACGACGCTTTCTCCATGTAAACTCATCTTACCTGCATCACTGACAGGGGGAAAGCGGGTTGAAAAATCCGAAGGCAATATCTCGACCTATGCTGGGATTGGACACTGGACCTTCAGGTTATCCAGGAAACGTTTAACTCACTGAGTCACCAGCTCCCTTTACAATTGTTCTATTTGAGCACTATTTGAACAGTGATTTTTTTTACTATTGCATAGATGTGATATTCAAACCGGAAGTGCCTGATAAATATGAGCTGCGTTTTCCACGCTTTCAAGGAAACAGACTGATATTGGCATATATGAATGATATGTTAAGCCAACAACTGGAAGCAAGTCCCATGTTTCTAGATGATAAATGCCGCCAAGCAGTTAATATAAACACTAGAAATCTTTCAAGATTCCAAGAAGCACTTTTCTCTGACATCTGAGATAGTAATACCGATTTCGAGAGGTAACTTTGATAGATGAGTTGTATCACAGCCCACTCGACATTCATATTAATGTACACTATAGTAATAATAGGTTATATAAGGAGATAGATGCTGGCAATTCAATGTCATTAGGACAGGAAATCATGACGTTCAAATTACTCTTATAACATCCTCTTCAATTTGATGAGTAGAACATCTAGAAATCAAAGTCCATTGAAAAAACAATAACCTTGAGAGAATCTAGTTTCAGCTTTAAGTGCAATGAACCTTCAATTGGGATTCCATCTAAGGGAAGCATGGAGGTATATGGGAGATCTTTTTTTTTTATTCGAGGCCTCGTCCACATTTATCTGCTCGCTGTAAAATGATCTTAAAGGTACATTCATTTTGATAACGCTAGACAAGGTTCGTCAGGATGTGAAAACAATACGGATGCAGAGAATCCAAAGGTTTGGGAACCCAATGTTTACAGGGAACGCGAGCTGGGTTAAGACCATCATGAGACTGTTTAGTTGTACCCTTAAAAGGAATAAAAAAAAATTGACGAGACGTTGTACAACATCATTTAGCCCCCTCCCCTAAAGTGATTTATAGTTCTGTCATGAATCAAGATAATGAATGAGTATACCGTTACCATTTGGCCTATAAGATTGTTACCATCCGTTTATTACTGAAGTGATGATACGTGTGCGAAGATGTGTCGAACGTGCTATTCGTGGGAACTTGATGACGTAATGTGAAATATTGAAATTGTGGCCAGCATTGTGAAGTGTTAGAAATGAATATGAATGAGTGGAGAGGAAATACTATATAATAGGAGCTATCACGAGTGATTAAATTTTAACAATCCTTAGAAAAACGTTCGCAAATTTTTATTAAAACAGGACACTAACCAAAAAGCAGTAAGTTTTTACTTTTGTTACAGCAATATACTTTTTTCATAGAATAAGTTTGTTTTTAGTTTAGTATTTTTGTATGCGATGAGGGGGATTTAAATCAAACTTTAAGCGAAAAATAAATATATGGGCACTTGGTTTAAAACAATATACAAACTTGAAGTTTCTGTTTTAGCCAAATGTAAATAAAATTAAGCAAATAAAATGCATATTACTTTTTAACATTTAAGTGGAGGTATCAAACACTCCTGAAAAAAAAACGGAAACAAAAATAACCTAATTATGTATCTCAGTACTATATTTAGTTTCTTTGAAATGGAATTTCTGGAAGTCTGGTTATTGTCAGTTCACACTACATATCTTTCGTGTTCACTGTAAACAATTTATACTCCAAGTTTATATTATTAAATCACATAATGTACAGTATACGTAACTTTGTTTAAAAGGTATATCGACTCCGTACCTGGGATTTTCATTATGGATGATCTGACCTTCGAAAGTGTAGAACAACCTATAAAAAGCATGTTCAAGAACGAGGTACACGCCACAGTTTATTTCATGCGTAAGACTTTGATATTGCAGAAACTTGAAACTTTGGACGGGCAACCGGGCTCAGTTATCTGTCACTCAAACACATCGAAACTTCTGAATATACTGATTCTATATTTTAGGTATGTTATTCAAATATCTTCTATTGGTTACCATTATCTCTATAGTCAATACCAAAGAAAGAAGAAGGAAACCTCCTGCAAAAGTGCTAGAAAGGAATGGAACCGAAACGTTTTACGCCAAGGTTGTATCGGACCATATTAGGTATTGTACAAATGGTCGAGTGTGCGAGAACAGAAGATATAAGACATGTGATGTTTGTGAACAATGTTATTGTGATGAAGCTTGTTTTGAGTTCGGTGATTGTTGTCCCGATAAAGGTTTGCGTCAATCGCATCCACGAAATCAAGATTTGGAATGTGTGAGTTCACTAGTAGAAAGTTTGTATCCATCAGACATTTTTGATACAAAAAAGGATATTGAAGATAAATATGCCATGATAGTAAGTTGTCCCCATGAGGATTCCAATCTTCAATTTAACTGTTACAATTCTATAACTTTACCAGTTTCCTCTACCGATAACTCTACAACTTTCAGAAATAAACATTGCGCCACTTGCCATAACATCACCAACATTCGACCTTGGCAGATATCACTACAATGTTCAGTTTCTGGTCCTAAAGACTTTAAATCTACATCTGAGCTTATCGAGGAAATCATAAATACCCAGAATTGTACCATAAAGTTCCAAGCACCAGATGGTGTGACAGAAAGAAAATGTTTCTTGAAGGAAGATACAATATCACAGTGTAATGTAACTGGTTTGTGGCCTCAATATGACGAGTTCCTAGAGAAAGCGTGTAGTAGTTACCTGACGGTCAAAGAAGTAGATAATCAGACGTATAGGAATCCATTTTGTTTTATATGTAATACTGATCAGCCTCGTCAGATGTTTACCCAGTCACCATGTAAAAGACGACCTCTAGGACTACCTCCATCTTTTACAGCTTTATTAGATTTCAGTGATCTGTTACACGATAAAGATGAAGTGATTAAATCACAGTGTCCACCTCAAACTATATATGATCCAGGCAAGGTAAGAGGTCAGTCTTTTTCAGCTTGAAGACTTTTTACACCTAATGAATAAAAACCATTAGTTTGGCAGGTATCGTTAGTGAGACGGATGTTACGATGAACAGATATTAAGATAGTGCGCTTAACTTAACCAAAGACATAAAAATCCCTAGATTTACCTTTTGAGTTATTACCCTTTAGAAAACATTAAACATAAACATCACAATTTGTGAACGCAATGGTTCTAAAATTCCAATGGGGTAAAGCTGCTATGAAAGTTGCTACTGTTTTGGATGACCATAAGTTCAATGTGGGTTGATCAATTAATAATTGGTTTATAATATTATATTTCAGAAAATATGTCGTCAGATTACCTGTTCTTTTGGTCGTGAATTAAACAATGGTACGTGTCGATCATTCTTGGGTAAATCCAGGGGTACTGCATATAAATTGTATTTTAGTCTTAACCTAGACGAAGAGATCCCATTGTCCGGTTCTGAAGGTCTTCTGGATGATTTACCAGCTAGTCTAAAAGCTTATTTTGCTTCCACTTATCTAATAGAAGCGAATCATCACGGTGAGGTGTTTGCTTTCAATAGAACAAGCCAGTATGGTAACTGTTCAGACTCCACTAAACAGATCCTCTTTTCCACTACTTTAGTTACCGTAAAAGATGTGTATCAGGATGAGTTTGAATCCAGATTGTTATCCATGAGGAACATGTCCTTCTGGCTCTACAATGGGATCCGGGAATTCAACTTTACGACCAGTGTTAGTATGGAAGCTGGAAACCTGGAACAAACAAATCAGAAATCGAATTCTGCATTTTGTACAATTTCAAGAACAGTTTCATACGACACCGATTCTTTTGATAGAAATTATACACCAGTGGATGGACTTCTTCTTTGTCCACAAATCATTCTGGAAACCGATGAATTCTTTGTTGACCAGGATGCTGGATTATATCTGGATTGGAAATCAGAGCCAATTGAACACGACAACTTTCAGGTGGTAGATGACAACAAGGTTAAAATATGTTTGCGTGACTTTAAACCAAACGCGAGAGAAATCCTCGATGGTAGCTTGAGAAAGCAGCCGTCCTTTGCTGAATCTATTGTATCAATGGTCTGTACTTCGTTATCTCTGTTATGTCTTTTCATTTCGTTTGTTGTGTATTGTGCATTTCGACCATTAAGGAGCTTGCCGGGTAAAAACAACATGAATCTCATAGTAAGTCTTTTTCTGGCACAATTACTGTATCTTGTCGGAGCAGGACGAACTGAAATAGTAGGCGTCTGTGAAGCTATGGCAATATTTATCCATTACTTTTGGCTCGCAGCGTTCTGTGCGATGAATGTGTGTTCGTTTCATATGTTTCGTGTATTCACGAGTATGAGATGCCGGGATGATGAAAGTGATATGAGAAGAAGATTTTTACAGTACAGTATTTATATTTATGGAATGCCGGCTGTGTTAGTGACTATAACCTTAGTAACCTATATAGTGTCTACTGATGGATCAGATATTGGATATGGAGGAGCTATCTGTTTTTTAGCATCTGATATAGCTATAGCCTTAGCATTCGGTATCCCGGTGGCTATAACCATTGTGTCGAATTCGTTATTCTTCATTATAACTTTACGTTCCATTCGAAACCGCCCAAAAATAGAAAAAAGCAAACAGGACGAGCAACACGCCACTGTCTATATAAAGTTATCAACACTTACTGGAATAACATGGACTCTTGGGTTTCTGGCAATAATTACAGGAAATCAGGTTTTATCTTATTTATTTATACTGATCAATGCCAGTCAGGGTATTTTTCTATTTATTTCATTTGTATGGAATGAAAGAGTCAAGAAATTAATTTCCCAAAATAGCCGTGAAAGTGGTATTTACAGTCGTACTGGAACTGCTAAAACAAATGTCAATAACGCAGTGAATTCAGTAGCCGCTGGCATGGACTGCAGATTAAAAGTTCACCATAAATAAGTTAAAGTTGTTTGATGGACGCTATGATGTATGCTACGGTTAATTTGAATCTGTTGTTTTACTTATGAAATGACTTTGTATTAATTATGCTTATCTGGCTTCTATAACCTTACCGTGCTTAAACGTCGAAATTAAAAATTGTGGTCCCTAATATTGTGGTCTCTGTATAATTGTGCAATATTTTGTTTATTATTCATAATGTAAATAATTGTTTAACCTATTGAACTAAATTGTTTACTCTATTTTTATTACTTGTATAAATATCTAATATCACCTAAGCTTATAGAGTACCACGTTCTGTTATCATGTAAATATATGTCAGGAGCTCGAAAGAGAATTCCAACATTACTCTCGGTTAAGATTTATATTGGTCTTAATTGTCCAGTCTTATGATACTATTCTACATAATAACTATACACTCTGCAGACTGGATCTAACCTTGATCAAATGTAACTACATGTACTACAATTGTTCTATGATTCTACCTTAGAATAGATACAAATATCCAACAAGACATCAATATGTGCATTGAAAGGCCAATAACCCAGTGAAGCCAAATTGTAAGCTATTTTTATGGCAAGCTAAATGCGTTAAAAATATAAAGAATCCGATCTCAAAATATTCGTCGGATATAGCTTGTATTATGTCCGTTTTCAGGGTCACAATTTAACAAATGCATTAATGATACAAAAACATTTAATTTTTTAATTAATATTCTTTCCTCACCTCACAGAACACAATGTATCTACAGAGTATAATATTCTATACATTTATATTGAAGATCTGGAATTGTCTTCCTTTTACTTAAAACAATCTCACTCTAAAGAAATAACATCAACATAAGGAAAAATAATATGAAATATATAAATAATATAATTCAAAATAAAATATTGCACTTGATTGGCCATTTTCGGGAATTGAATATAATTTAAATAGTCTTTAGAAGTACTAGAAATGAACAAAAATGTCTCTAGTAGGAATTTGAACATTCCATAAATATACTTGAGCGTACTATACGTTAAAGGGGCTGAGACTCTGCCATTTTAATAGTCTCTGTCCCTTTAAAGTATAGTACGCTCAAGTATATGGAATGTTATTTAAGTCGAATATGGCGTTATTATACATTAAAATTAATACAATAACAAAATATTTTCACTGTTAATGGTACTCAATACATCAATTGTAGGGCCACAAAGAAATAAAAGTAATATTGATAGAAGAAAATGTAGAAGCCATTTAGAGTTCGTTTGATTACAGGACTTTTACTGGTTGTTATTTAAGTAATCAACATTCCTTTAATTTTTGATTGACAATTATCTTATGATAATAATTAAAAGCTAAAATGGAACTATTTAAATCAGAAAAAAGCACAGACTTGTTGTATTACTGAAGAAACTAAATGCTGAATACATTATTCTTCAATTTTTTGCTGTAGGGTTGGCGGGATAGTGGTGGGGGTACGTTCAAACAGCAAACCATTATTGGCATCGTACATAGCATATGTATGCTATATCCAACCTTCTGGGAAAATACTCGCGTGTCCATCAGCAGTTACAGACAGTTCTCAAAAGAATTCATATCACAGGTCAATAACGACTAACTATTATGTACAATCCTTGGACAGTCAAAGTCACTTAATAATTTTAACTAGAATATACCACGAATTTATGTATGTGTTGGACATTTTCAAACTGTATCACACCTATCTTCGTGATATACACACAGATGTATAGAATGTTCATGTACTGGTAAACATTAAATAAATACAACAATATTTGTGAAAAACAACATCAGATTCTGTAACCCTCAAATCCACAGGATTTCATCAAAGGAAATTTGTCATTTCTTAAGTCTTTCACTGATTTAGTTGATATATAACACATCTTATCATAAACATTGAGGCAATGTTTATCTATTTTAAATGATGATGCTGAGGCGATCCGTTTTCTCCATCTATAAGCAGCCAGTTTCGAATTTGTTCGCACTGAACAACCGACGTTACAAGAATTTTTCTTTCCAACTCTCCCTTGGATAAATTCTAGATTTTTTAGTGTCATGTTAAATTTCAGAAACTTGAACATCTCTTTAGTTTTTTTCATTGGTTGAAAGGCGAGAGATTCGTACCGTACAACTTTTATTCTATTAGGAAATAATGCATGAAGTTTTCTGATCACTTTTATTTCATTGTCCATAGATTCACATATTCGTTGAGCAGCATAACCAACTCTAGTGAAAGAAAAACTTTTAAAGTTCATAATCTGAGAGCTGATCGTGCCTCTTGGATCTCGAATTAAATATATCACATACAGTTGAGGGTCGGTTAACATTTGGTTATGCAGAATTGATATTGGATATCTGATGGTCTTGATCAAAATTTTGGATTTTTCGCGACATTTTGATTCAAAGTCCTTGATACACGTAGATACAGAGTTGTTGGAATGCTTGAGACAATTGGTAAAATTCCATGTTGATGGTCGAAGAAAAAGTAAGGGGTTTTGTAATGCTGGTAAAGGTAAATGGGATATATTACAGTTAAAAAAGGATTTGATCACATTATAAACCTCTTCTTTATACGATGTCATATTTGGTTTGACACTGAAAAAGAAAGGAAAAACCGAACTGAATATCAACAGCACTATTCTACTGAGACCACTGTAAAGTTGTTACTTGCACTCCACTCCTATAATATGATCTGAAGATATTTCTATGGACCGCATGTATTCAATTTAACCAATATTGACATCCTGTTCAGAAAGAACTTGCTACCATATTTGGGTAATAGAAAAACGGGGATATAGACAGAACTAGAACTGCTGATGCAAACCACACAGAAGGTATAAATGAAATATATCAAGATCTGTGTTTTAACGGACTGCATACGATACGATTATTGTCATGGGTTGTGTTTGTACGACGACATAGACTATTGTTAAACGGTTAGGAAGTAACTTAAGAAAACTAAATCACTTACTTTCTGTCTTTAATACCATTATCAGTAATTAATAAATCTTTACCAGTATGTCTTATACATGTTTTATATAGAGGTTCAAATATATAGAACACATCTGAATTAGAACTCAAAATATCAGCAGTAAATGTACTTCCACTGCGTCCATGAGTTATAAGTAGTATCTTTTGACGCTTATCATTTTCATTTGGTATAACGGGAAGTTTACTGGTTTGAAAAACTCTCCAAAACTCCGTAAAATATCCAGAGCTCAGAGGTGCTGCAAAATACAAAAAAAGTATATACTAAAAAATAAAGTGCCTTTCAAGGTAGCTTTAAAAATATTTTTTTATATTATACTTCATAAAAATTATGCTTATATCTGATTTTTCAAGCCTCTCTGGTTCCGGGGAAATCAGGTCTATTGTATATAATGAGATAGCACAATGGTATTATGTATTCTGTACTAACCTGTATGTTGTTCTATATGATTTCTGGCCACAAGTATCATAATCAAAGTCATTATTGAAATAGTTATTAGAAATTTCTTTTTACATTTTGGTAAACAGCACTTGACACAAATCTTCCTTACCTGGAATACATAATACGTAAAATACAGACTGCACAAAAGCGACATGTCGCTATAGGTCGTAATAGATACAGATAGATTTGCTCTTTAATACTACATTGTTAGTAAATGAAATATCAACGTCCACTTCTAGATAAAGCTGATATTGCAGCTCAAGTAGTTGTTGGTAGTACTATCGTGAACAACTGGATGGTTTGGTACTGTTGCTCTGTTAGTTGATAGGGCCTTCTGTGTGTGTTTTGTGTTCTTTAAGTTCTTGCATAAATTTGACCAAAAAGGGTATATTAAGACCGAATAACACGGATTGACCAAACACGCTGTGTAGTATTAAGGTAACATGTTTGTATATGCATTAGATTCGAATCTCCAATCAACAATGTTTGCTATGTAATCTGTATTGAGGTCAACAGAAATAATTAATATAGTAGTCTATATAAAAATATAGTTACATTTTTTTGTTATAGACCTATCTTTTAAATCATATAAAATATTATTAGTGATATACATACAATAAGTCTACTCCAACATAATTTCTTGATTTTCAAATACATTAGTCATTTAACAGTCCTTATTTAGTTTTAAAGAATGAAAATTTTTACTTATCTTATCTTTGATATACTATCAAGAATATCGTATGAAATATCACTTTGTAATTAATAAGCCTATATCCCGTTAGGTCAAATGATTGTAAAACAAAAACAAAAGCGCTGGGGGCAACGACTTAATTTAATTGCAATAGTTGTTAGTTTCATTGACCTTATAAAGTGTTGAACTTTTTGCATGTATGTTTTAAGATTTGAGTTACTGCCCTTCATTTTAAATATTTTTGAATATTGTACATTGTACCGAATCAACACCCACGATGGAGTTTTACGTCGTATTTTTCTGCAGCTGTTTGGGTTAAATGTTGCTCAGATTGTGCTCGTGAACGTGACTTTATATTATGCTTTTAATATATGCGTAAAAACTCCATTTATTCCATTTCATTTTCTTCTTATTATAAGCAGATCATCTCATATGGTTTTCCTTAAAAATAATAACCTCTTCAGCTCGAGCACACTATAGTAAGTGATGGAAAGGTTACTTCTGATTTCAGCCTATTTTTCAAGCATACTTCCAATTTACCATGCACATTTCCTGTAGTTAAAAAAGTCTAAAAAAATCTACATACCATTGTGATATTGTATTCCGTCTTATTATAATCCGTGGTTTATAGAATTATCCAAGAGAAATAAACATATAACGTGTTCTTGGAAGAAGTCAAACTCTTCCTTCAGTCTATCACACAAGGAACAGATTTTTAACATGATAGTGGTATGAGTAATGAAATAATCCTTTGAACAAGGTTGGTGTATAATAAATTATGAATGCGTATCAATTAATGAAAGCCTTAGGGTAATTAATATTAGCCTATACTAGTAATTATTTATATCACATAACTCTCCATCTCTAATCATACTATTACACTGTTTATGCGTCTTGATTGAATCAATGAAACTGACATAAAATGAGTTATATGGCTTTATTGACTCGTTCACAGATTGATGTTAATTTCAACCTTTCAAAAGGTAATTCATTGCAAATGATTCTTTCAGATGAATTATTTTACATTGACCATCAGGATATAGCTTATACGAGTTTTAATTATGACGTCACATAGAGAGTCCTTCTAGTTACAACGTTCAGTTGACAACAAGGTGCAAGTCTACAGCATATTTTTGGAAATCAGTTTGATAATATATTTTGAATCGTGTGAATCTATCAAGCTTCTTTCCAATATGAACATTTCTGAAGGTAAGCCTTTCTAATATACGATGTGTGAAATGTCCTTTTATATTCAGGCCATCGTAAGTTAATATCAAATTGTAAGTTATCGGTCATTATTCCTGTCCGTATCGAGTACCAATAATCCGGTAAAGAAGTTTGGTCCAAGTTTGTCGGTTAATGGGAACTTCGGAAGGGGATTATTATTTGTTATCCGTACGTCCGTGTTTATATTATTGTTTTATTTTGTAGAGTCGGTTATATCTGTATCATCAATTAACCAAAGTGTTGGTTTGTGTGACATCATTACAGAAACAAAAGCAAAAGAACTGGCAGTTAATGCGAGAATGGGGAATTGCGACATTGACGATTTGAATTCTACCTACATGCAGTTGTTGTTAAACCACCACATACCAATATCTCTTCCTCCATTTCCTTTAAATATTTATCCTGTGTTAGATCTAGAAGCATTAGAGACAGTGCAAAGAACCACTGAGTCTCTGATAAAATATTTGAAGTTGGAGGATGTAATTAAAAAGATCGAAGATGCAAAAATACGCCAGCTTAGAAAAGTGAGAACTGTAACTTTCAAAGACACAGTTAGATTAGCAAATTATGATGATTTGTCTGAAGAATCTGCGCCACTTCATGATGTGTCCACCACTCATACAGCTAGTTGTACCAAAGTTCATAATATCGTAATTTCTAAGGGTGATGTAACAGAAAACGATGTAATGCCAGTCGGTAGGTTTTTATTTTTATCCCGACTTTTCGCCTACACCTTATTAACTCCGATCAAACAATCCATCCGATATTGTAACCTTGTAACCTTAAGGGGCTATACCACCGATCTTCTCGATCTTATCAATTGAATTACAAATTCAATTCTTCCACCGATCTTATGAATCCGATCACAGATTTTACAGTAGAATTAAAGATCCTAGCTATCTTCGATGTTATCGAGCCCACAAATTTCACTGTACTGTCAAATGGTTTTTGATTTTGTCTTGGGTTCAAACCGTTATTTTCTATTCATTCAGTAACTGAAATAAGAATGGGAGTGGGTGGAAGGCTGCGAAAAGGGCTGAGGAGATTTGGAACTCGCTGTTTTGGTTGTTTCCGTCGTTGATACTGGTGTAGCCTAAATGAACCAGTGGCGGAAGGACCCTCCTTTGAGTTGCAGCAATTTCAGGTAGATATCATATAATAAATATGAATGATTTCTTTTAAATATCGACTCACTTCTCTGTATGAATGTGTTCAGAGAGAAGCTAGACAGTGTGGTTGACATGAGCGCTTCCGGCTTAGCATTTTATGTTATGCTTCATAAGGGAAGTAACTGTAGTTAAAACTTTAAAAAGAGAGAGAGCAGCTGAGCTTTCCATAATACGTAAAAAGAAAATACTTGTCTGTTTTCACGTTGTATTTCTATATTCAGGAAAATTCCAATCAACCTATCATGAATGCCTACAACTACAACTAACAATGCTTTGAAACAATGACAACAGAAATTAGCTCGTTTCTGAAATTGACATGTAAGTATCTATAGTTCCTCTAAGTCTTAACAAAATCAAATCATGTAATTTTCTTCTGTGAATTTTTCATCTGCTCTTTCATAATGATTTTAAAAGTGCATCTTGTATCAAACAGATTTGTTGTTTATGTATTTCAGATAAGAAAGCTAAGATGCAGATTGTGCTTTTCCTTTCGTTCGATTTTGATTGTCTTCAGATTATAGCCAAGTAGAGAACATGTGATTACTTGAGATGAAACATCAGTAAATTATCTCTGTAGTCGAGTGCTGTTCATTGGAGATTCGGTTTACCCTGTGGTCTCCAGTGCCAACTATCAAAGTTATAGGTTTCCCTGATGAAATTTCTTAGATTGGAGGGCAAGATAAATTCTTTTCACAGAAATTATATTTCCCATAGAATAAGAGATCGATGGATCTAGTTTATTACAGATAAAGATGTACATGATTCCGGTTCGGTGTGGAACGTTGGAGCTTGACTCCACAGCCAAAAATCTTTTCATTTACTATTTTCATAAATAACACATTATAATGTTCGGTTTGGAACGTTGGAGCGCGATCCTATACATTCGAACTTCTTTTGATATACATGTGCATCTTTGAATTGCCCATCTAACGAGACTTTACATTCCAAGTTATTCTTTATAGATTGAGATAAATCTTATTATTGTTGTACAATATAGGCTATATCCTTTTTTTATTGTGAATAACATAAGAACATGTATACTACATTATTAATACAGTATATAAAAGAGTATGATTTAATATTGATTTTTTCATCTAAATAATCTGAGGTGCTATAATTGCACATCCCTTGTGCCTCTAACTTCAGAGTCGATTAATGGATGGTAATCTAAACTATGAATAAATAACAGAGACAACGGAATTGATATAATATTTACAAATCTGACTGTAGGTCAATTCTTAAATCGAGTAAAACTAGGAATAAAACTTTGTGGCCAGAGAATGATGGCGTTAGCTACTACAGAGCAAAGAACATGTTTTAATGTAGTCTGTAAAAAAATAGAACGTATTTAGAGTTTTGTCCCTTGTATTGATGTAATATTTAATTTTGGAGTCGCTGTATGCCTTTGGTTTTCCAAAGGCCATGCTGATGAAGTATGATACAGGACAAAACAGTGGTATGCAAATTTGGATTTTTGGATGATAATAAGAAGGAAAAAAAAAGAAACAAGTGCCACTATATAATAGATTTAATCGTTTTGTGAGGTTGAGATGATAATGTATATTAAAAGAAAGGTTGTATTTAATAAACGAGGGGGTAGTATACCATGAAATTGTTTCATGATTTAATGACATGGAGTTGTTAAAACAACATTCCGAATGCCGGAGAGTGGGCCTGTCACCTTTCATGTCCTAACTACATGCTGCCTGATTGTTTTCCATAAATATCTTGTCCTTGCTATCAGAGTCCTCACGTGTCACTTTAAAGCAAGATATATTTTTATCGACACATTTAGGCTTAGGATATCTAAATTAGCCCGAAAGTTGAACTTGTTTCTGGCTTCCGATAGGTTAACCAAGTACATGGGCATGAGTCTGCATTTTTCAGACTACTCCATTCTATATATGTCTGTTTTGTTATTAAACTTTTCATGCATGCTATTAAAATAAAATAATTTCAGTAGATATTTTTCTGTGTTATTTAATTGATGCCATATCGTGATGTTTGAAGAGCAATAAGCATCAATATAAACATTCTTCAGAATATCAAGTAGTGTATTCCATCAATAATAAACAACACGCATTATCATTAATCAATATTAATTCTAGCTATTATTATATTAAATAAAAACACAGTTAAATAATCCCCTTGTCTTACCCCTCTCACATTATCTTATTTTACTTGTCAAAAAATATTTGTTTTTTTATCGTAAACGTTTAAGAGGTATTATTGACTGTTTGAAAGGACATTTATTGAGAACTAATCCCTAAAAATCCCCCGATCATAATCACAAATATTAATTTAGACCCATTAAAATTAATGGCATATGTCCAAATTTATATAAATTCTTCATATTTATGAATGGTCTTCAGTGTTTAATGCTTTTAAAGGTCCGATTCATTATTTATTTTAAAGTTAATTCAAACAACCCTTGTCCACACGTTATAATGTCGATTTCTGTTTTTTTTTTTAATTCAACATACTAAATATGTTTAACTAAACCCAAACATGAACATACCCCATAAACAAATCGAAAGGAACTCAGTTTTTTTTTTTACAAAAGATATATAAGATATAACACTTTAATGAGAAAGACCGTTGTTCTGTGTGTATATGATATTTGTCCAACTGCCTTAGGTGTGCCAATACATATATCATTCTGATGGGTGTTTAAAACGGGTATATGTCAGACAGTCTATCAGAAATTAAATATCAGATAGGTATATAACACATGAGATATTAGTTAATCCATAAGTCATGGAATATCATATATATGTAGTTGTATCAGACATGAAATATCATATAGTTATATCAGACATGGAATATCATATAGTTATATCAGACATGAAATATCATATAGTTATATTAGACATGAAGTATCATATAGTTATATCAGACATGGAATATCATATATATGTATAGTTGTATCAGACATGAAATATCATATAGTTATATCAGACATGGAATATCATGTAGTTATATCAGACATGGAATATCATATAGTTATATCAGACATGGAATATCATATAATTATATCAGACATGGAATATCATATAGTTATATCTGACATGGAATATCATATAGTTATATCAGACATGAAATATCATATAGTTATATCAGACATGGAATATCATATAGTTATATCAGACATGGAATATCATATAGTTATATCAGCCATGAAATATCATATAGTTATGTCAGACATGAAATATTTAGTTATATGAGACATGGAATATCATATAGTTATATCAGACATGGAATATCATACAGTTCTATAGACATAATAGTTACGGTATATCCGATAGTTCTATAAGTCACGGTACATCAGATAGTTCTATAAGTCACGGTATATCAGATATAAGTATTGGATAATCGATAGTTCTATAAGTATTGGATATAGTTCTATACGACAAAGAAGCACAGGATATGAATATACTATTTCTGACAGTTCTATAAGACACTGGATATCCGACAGTTTTATAAGACATGGAATTGCAGATAGTTCTATAAGACATGGAATAGCAGATAGTTCTATAAGACATGGAATGGCAGATAGTTCTATATGACATGGTATATCAGATAGTTCTATAACACATGGAATGCTATCTAGTTCTACAGAAAAGGGGCATGTTTCAACGTATTGCTGAATACCACTTTGTAAATCCTAACTCTGACAATCTTACATGATAACGATAAGAGGAAATAGTTAATATCTTATAAAACATCATCGTTATTCATACTTCATGTCATGATCTCATTCTTAACTTTAATTTATGAACTATTATAATCATTACATCATTACTCCTGTATACAGCCTTTGGTCATCATAGTGGTCAGTCCAGAATGATTTATGATGACCACTGGTCAGGTAAGGTCACCAAATGTATTGAAAAGCTTTAATATGTTAAATTCTTCAAACTTTCATCTTCGATTCAAACAGTTTTAATGTATGTTCAATATTTCGTTATATGTACTCTTAAAGCGTTTTCGTCTGCATTAGCCCAACCGGTAGGAGAAGAGTAAGATGTTAATCTCCAATTTTACTTCATTTCAGTCATTCACTAGTCACAATAAAATAATGTAATTCGCATGATATGGCCAATTAATCTACAAAATGACCACAACAAAAAGTGTGCGATAAGAAAATAGAACAATTCAATATTTCATCGCTTGGCGAGAAGGTAATTTATGATCCAAATTGATATCTGCTCCTCAGTTACAGTCCATTGTTTTTATTGCCTTCATAAATTATATTGAATTATAACTGTGTTTTTAAAGTAGGAAACTTAGTCTGGAGTAACGCCTCTACTTGAACGTTATATTTTACCCTACTTCGCAGGCACCATAAATCTACTCTAGCCACGGGAGAAGATACGGAAACCTGCTAATCCCGTTTAAATTCCCTTACAATTTCTCAAATTTTCTTTCTTGACATTGTTACATTTCTGGGAAAAAATATGTTAAATATCAGATATATCTAACCAAACCTTACACATCTGCTATAGAAATCTCTTCCTGATACTTCCAATCAAATATTTTTATGATTGTTCAGATTGAATGTTCGACTCCTCGTTAAAATCTGACTGTCGGTGGTTGAGGTTTCTTTTGCTTTTTCCAAAGGCGATTAATATTGGGGTAACTGAATTAGATTCATTCAGACGTCTGAATGGTGGTTTGTGGTCGTCTACAAACTATTTATTATTTGACGATGGGACGTTGTACCTATTTTGTGTAAAATATCACTGTCTAAGAAGCAAATAGACTACAAACATACATCATATAGAAATCTACCTCGATCCACATAAGTTAGTGATTCAACTCAGTCAAACTATGGTTCACTCTAAATTTCATTCCGCTGAATTTTTTTCTTGCATGGGTTGCAAAAAGAATATGAAACACGAAAGAAGTTTTA